AGAGTGGGACAGTAGAGGTAAAAAAAACAATGAAAGTTAGGAAAGTTATGCAAAGATTGCAATAAAGTGGGATAAATAGAAATGGGGGAAGGGAAAGAAGCAGGGGGAGCTGAGTCTGAAGGGTGGAAAAGCAGGGATAAAAACAGAATCAGTTGAGCAATTCTGTTGATAAGAGGAGGGAAGGAACAATATTGGAGGGGGAATCTAACAGGAGAATGATGCTATAAATAGCTTCTGAGGCGCTTGTTCTAAATCTGACAAGCAAGCGTCCTGTTGGTAGCACACTTTTAAAGCAAAACATAAATAGATGAAAAGTTCAGACTAGGGTGAGGTAGTAAAAATTCTCCAGATACTGCAGAGAAGGAGATGACACTTTGAAAGGCTTCCTCTTTTGGAATAAACCAGCTACAGATGTAAAATTACAGCAAAAAAGATAAAGTCCTGTAATTTCCTTCTACTAAGTCAGATTTTTTTCATGCAAGAATATATGGAGGGCCATCATAGCTCTATCCAGCATCCTGCCTATGATGTGCCTGGCTCCTCGGGTGGGGTTAACACAATTTAAAACAATGGAAGAAAAGGATTGCTCAGCCACATTTCAAGGGAGATTTCTCCTTTAAAGGGAAGCTATTGATGAAACAGAATATCAGAAGTAAGTTTTGACCCACCAGATCCTAATGTTCATATTCTGTCTTGCTATATTGAGTGTACATGTCAAGGTTTGGGTAGCAGGGGGTCTGCAGGGGTGGCCTCTCTGAGATGAGGCCAGTGGCTGCCCCTGTTGCAGGACAGAGCCAGTTCCAGCTGGCTTGGCAATGAACCAACCGTAGATCAAAGCTGAGCCAATCAGCAAAGCTGGCGGTGCCTCTGGAAAACATATTAAGAAAGGGCAAAAACACCAGAGGCAGAGGAGGAGAGTAAAAAAAAACAAAAACCAGCAGTGTGAACACCAAGGTCAGAGAAGAAGGAAGGGGAGAAGGTGCTCCAGGCAATGGAGCAGATATTCCCCTGCAGTCCATGGAGAGTGCTATGGTGGAGCAGGTATTTCCCTGCAGCCCGTGGAAGAGACAACTGCAGGAGTTGGATGTTTCCTGAAAGACTTGCAGCCTGTGGAGAAGCCATGCTGGAGCAGATTTTTTTCCTGAAGGAATGCAGCCCATGGAAAGGACCTATGCTGGAGCAGGGGAAAAGTGTGAGGAGGAAGGAGCGGCAGAGAGGAACTGTTATGTACTGACTGTAACCCCCCCATTCCCCATCCCTGCTGTGACACTTGAGGCAGGGTGGGTAAAGAAGTTCTTGTCCATGCAGTAGTGCTGTGAAAGTCCAGCAGGGTAACAGGTTGCATCTCTAAAAAGCTGAGTATTTCATGATTATTTGCACACTCATATCCTCAGGAGGCAGTCTCAAGCATTTATGAGTACAGATTTTTATGAGCAACTTGAATTTAGTTTCTGTACATCAAAAATATTTGTGAAATATTTGTAAGAATAATTGTTCTTATAACGAGATACCTCAAGCAGTCACACACACAGGCTTTATTGGACCTCATCTATGCTTTTAGAAAAACAATGAGATACCAGGTCATTCGTTAGCTAGGTATTGGGATGCTTCTGTTCATATTTCACTTGGGCTTTATTGCACTACATTTGTGTGTGGTTTAATTAAATTTTAAAATTAGAATTGGATAAATTTGCTAATCAGTGATTTAAAATTAATACAGCATACTATATAGCTAGATTATACTATACATTTCTGTTTCAGGGACATTTTTTCAGTTAGCATTTCTTCATGACATTACTGTGCTTTTACTGTGAGATTTTTCCAGAGTGATAATATACATGATGAAACTTTAAGGTTGTGTAAACCCCTTTTTTATGATTAGAGTTAGAATTTGCCTATAATATGTGACTGTTTGGCTCTATCAAGAATTTCTCCACTTAACAGCAATAAACCTTTTCTGTAGTGGTCTTTTTGAGATAGCTGAGCAGAGTCTATCATACAAGAGAAGAATTTCTGATGTGTTTAGCTGCCATGAAATAAAATGGATCTTAGCGGAAAGCCCAATTCTCTAGGCAGTCCTGATTTACACCAGTGAACTGGAGTTAAGAATTGAGCCCCCTGTGTGATCTCTCTGATCTGTGGCAGGATGAATTCTTAGTTGGTGCAGACAGGGCTTCATTTTCTACAAAGAAACCGTATCTTCTTACAATTTGCACTGCATTCAGGTCTTTGATCCATACCTTTTTAAAGTAGAGTTCAACTTTTAGTTTTACCCACAAGTGCTTTGAAACTTTTTTCTATATACATGATATGTTCTTAAGAAATCATTTCATTTTTGCTGTAGGATATTGCTGGACAATCCATTCAAGTGTTCCTGTGAAATTATGTGGATCAAGAAATTTCAAGAGACCAAGTTCAACAGAGAAACTCGGGATTTATATTGCATAGATAACAATACCAAGAGGACAGCCTTGATGGATATGAAGGTCCCAAACTGCGGTAATACTCTTTTAACATAAAGTTCTTACTAAGATATTGTGAGAAAGGAAAAATAAACATGCTTTTTGACAAGATACCTGTGCAGATTAAGGCACAGACTCCGATATGCAGGATCGAAATCAGCTTTATTAAGCAAGCGTGTTCTTTATATACTTTTCTACCAAGGCCAGTAATTTTCTACTTTACTTGTTTACACCATTGCGTACTCTAAAAGATCACGTTCCCACCAAAAAGGGAATCTCTCTTCCCTGTGAGCAGCACCCCCTTATCTAGGGAGTAGCTTCACACAACTTCATTGTCTGCCAGAACAGTGCTGCAGCTGCTTATTCCTCCCTATTAGTTCTACCACACTTAACCCTTCTTTTGCCTCAGTCCCGGACAATTCCCCCTTTTTTGTTTGTTGAACAATTAGCACTGTGTTTATTGTTTTTTCCACCATTCTCTGCGTACATTGTAAAAGGCATGGTAAAAAGCACAGTTCTGCAAAGCAGCATGTCTAACCAAATCTACATTCATTAATAAGCCGGATAGAGCCAGCAATGTGGCATTGCTGTGTTTGGTAAGCCAGCATCCTAATTTATTCAACATGGCTAAAGCTTGCGAAGCAGCAACTCCTGGTGCAAGTATAGAGGCTGTAATTATCTCCCCTTTACTCCAAAACTCCACAGTATCGTTGCATTTGCTCTGAAAGGTATGGGCCAATCTTTTGGGGCGTCGATGATGCTTTGTAAAATTCAGAATCATTGATGTATTTGGGGTCAACAGCGTAAGTCTTCCCAGACTACAAGGCCCTCCCCTTATATGTGAGGGTACACCTCCCCAAGCTCGATCACCACAGATAAAGAAGAGCCTCTGCGGGAGCTGTAAAGGCACATTGCTGGAG